CAAAAAATAACTAAATATGATTAATTTGATTCATGATACACAATATGAAAATGTGTTAAATCTACCCATCTATTCCATAAAAGTGTGCCATTGTTATTGAAGTTTGATTGGTAGTTCTTATTACGTGTTCCTGACACTTATTTAAATGAAAGACTTTGGAGCTTGACATCATTTCATCGTCTACCGAGTTAAAAAGGGCATCTTGCATACACATATGGATCTGTTTGTTATTCTGTACCACATTTAAGTGCATTTACGGCAAATGCGAACTTCAAAAGGCGGAGTGTAAACGGGTTTATCTCCAGAAAAACATGAGCGAGTGCGGCCCGTAACGTTTGATCTCTGGGTTCGCCTTGAAAAGGAGCAAAAATCAGTGACGTTACATCAGACAGATTTACCTTTTAAAAAGGCACAGCACCTTTCCTAGAATACTAAATTCATTTAGTCTAATACAGGACTGCTTCCTTCTTAGCAATTGAACTTTTCTCATGTGCTCAGGTAAATTCAAGAATGTCTACTTCTTGTCTCTGCTGGCGAAATAATTTGTGCCCTGCACCCGGCCCTCGGCAGACGGACAGTATTTGGCATGCTGGATGAATGCCATCGCCAGGGGCCAATAAGGACACACACTTGCACATACACAAACAAACACACATGCTTAAGTCCACACACATGTATAAGGTGAGAAAACGAGACACGGAGGCTTTTTGAAAAGTGCACACATCAAAAGGCCCCGATAGCCAGCCGAAGTTGTCTTTACAAAAGTAAATTCACACGCAAGCACACACCAGCCCCGTGACTTTATCCCCCTTTGGACTCCCGTGACGAAGAGGCTCTCGGCGAATAAATGACAAGCACAATGAGAACGAGAGAGGGAAAGAAATTCACTAATTAAGCAAAAATGAGGAAATGTAAGAGGAAAAGAGAGAGCGATGCTGCTTGATGTATTATACATAACCGGGCGGCTGAGAGCTGTAAGTGTTGCAGGTAGACGGACGCCGTGCGGGAAAAGACACACGTCAACACAACATATGGGAGCATTATCCCGAGCAATGACGCGTTACCGAGTCAGCAGCGAACACGGGGCCACACATCCTGGATGGTAGAAGACGGGTGACTCTCTGTGACGGATCGCACTCGTACCATCGCTCTTACTGAACGGCGGGGGGGTGGAAAAAAAACTGCCACGCAGCCTTGAAAGGGAGGCAGATTCTAATCAGTGCATTTAAAGCCGGGAAGTATGGAAGGTGATTTAACGTTAATTAGCATCTTTGTCTGCAGGGGCTGAGAAAAGGAAAAGAAAAGGATGGGCGGACACCGCGTTGATGGGGAGAGGGAGAGCGAGACGCCCGAGGACACTAGAGACAGTTTGTCGTCTCTCTTGTGTTCCGACATATTAGCTCTGGTTCTCGTGACTGGCGTCTTACTTCGAGTACCTTCGTAAATGAATGACACTGCAACCAGAACACGAGTCCGGTGATGAAAGACGTGTGCAAATGGAAAAAGGGAAAATAGACTGTTTGTTATATGAATTAATATAGATAGAATACAATTAATAATGACATCCCAAACAGTTGAAAAACAAAGGAGAGGCCCATTGTCAGATTACAATCGTTTTTTAAATCAAGAAAATTACTAAGAAAAGCACAGATGAGTTCAGCACGAGACGAAACAAGTTAGGAATTCATTCTTTATCATTTATCTTTTGCAGCTCACTTGGATGTCTTGGCTTGTTCACGTTTCACAGCAGCTCATCGTTATTTGTACCTTTTACTTTTTCAAACAGCAAAGGAGAGAGAGGAGAGAGAGCGGAAAATTGAAATGGTTTGTCACTGAAAAGGGTAAAGATGATAAAATAAAAATAAAAAAAACAGAAAAGTGGTTAACCAGCACCGAAGAAATAAAGTCACTATGAAATAGCCCTGTGAGTGTGGAAAATCACAGTGGTTGGCTTACTGTGACTTGTGTGGCAATAATTGAGAGCAGAAGTGCCTGAGTAATTGACTGTAACAGCGCCGTGCATCCACACAGCCTCATTATCCTCAACCACACTTATCTCAAATCTGCGACCACCCCCGTGTCTTCTCTCTCCTCCGGTGTCCATCATTCTGTCGCTCCTCCACCGGCTGTTCTAGTCGGTGTTTTGGATATTCTTTTTTCTTTTTGTTTAAAGCAGCGGGAGCAGCGGGACACAGCATTTTAAATATGACTAGTTACATCACCTCTAATGTGAGCCATGTAATTATTTGTCCAAAGTCCATTCTTGTTCCACCGAGTGCCTGCGGCACCCTAACATCAGTTCAGTGTCTATTCCCTGAACCTGGGACTGAATGGGGCTGACGGCTTTTGTCCACTTTTTCTCTCTTTTTTTCCATTTATCCTCCTCACATTTAACTTTTTCCCTCCATTCTATAGGTTTACTGAATATAATTGCTATAAAAACTCACTTGTTCTGACTTTAATGACCCATGTTCATAGCCATTAAATGTTCTAACATAACAAACTATTATTTCTATATAGAGATATTTACACACATATACTGTATATAAATTGATTTGATTGGGAAAAGCAATTGCGCTTTAGTGTCTCAGTCAATCTGCTTAATATAAGAGAACGTGTGAATCTGTGGTGCCTCTAAACTGTGCGCATATTAGTCACTTCTTACACTAGACTGGGTTAATGAGCTCATTTGTTTGACAGAAACATTTCTCTCTTCATTAGCCTCAACGCTAAAAATGATTCTATCAATCATCCAGCTTCAGGAAAGTGTGACAGCAGAGAGAAGCACAGCATGTGCCTTCATGTGTTCACAGTGTCACGGGGAATGTGTGCACGTATGTGAATACATTTGGAGTGAATCTGACACTTGATGCCTTTGATCCAGACTGAATGGAGTATTAGAGTCTGCCGCCTTGGTGCGGACTGCCCAGAGAAGAGAAGTTCACCCCCGCGGCTTTCTACCAGCCAAAGGCTTTATTTCAAGGATCTTTAAAAAGGTTTGACTTTTGACTAGTGTACAGGTCACATGTCCGTTCCACACAAACTGCTTGTTTAATCCCTTCATTCACATATCATATTATTAGTGCAGAACAGGGATTGTTCAAGGCTCAGCCAGGATAGTGTGGCCATGACTACTGGTACACGGACATTATCTGCATGTTTAAAGGAGAAGAAGGAACAACAGTGAGAAAAGAACTAAACCTGGCTTATAACGCTGGACATTTGGGACTCGGCTTTGGTGCACGCTTCATCGACTGAGAATGATACCTGTGTGTTTTCATCTACACGAGGGCTTCGTTTTGTTCAAACCGTGTGCCGTTGGTTGTTTAAAGGGTGTTTACGCTGAAAGGAATTATCATCATTAGCGGAGGGAGACAATTATTCCTTCAAAAGCTGTAATTCCAACGCTAATCAAAATACTGTTCGCAGGAAGCGAGAAGAAACCAGCGCGGTTTGAGGTAAATGGGAGGCAGAAAATAAGGGGAGGTGAAGAGATGAAGAATGGCTGAAAGGTAAAAATTGAGACTTCAAATAGGATGAGGGAAAACAAAGGGCCGAGTGAAGGAAGCAAGTGTGGACGAGTGAGGGGAGAGGAGAGAGAATAAATGGATTTCAGTTGATAAATGTGGAAGCACAAGATGATCGGGGAGCAGTGGAGATAGGAAGACATTAGACATTGCCCCTAGTTGCCGAGTGCCTTCGAGTCGCCTCCTTGCGCGTGTTGCTGCACGCGTCGGCGTCACGCTCTCCCACGACTTCACCTGCCTCATCTTGCCAATGAGCGAACGTCGGACACACTGCGTGCGTGCAGGTGCAAGGTGTGTACGAGTGAAAGAGAGTGGCGAAAACAAAGTGCGTGAACGAGGTGAGGAACGGGGGACGCGGGAGGGGGGGGGTCAAGCAATTAGTACAATTATTGCCCGAGTTCCAAATTAGGGATGTCACTGGTGGCAGAATATAATTCCCATTTAACGGTTCGTTTGTCTCTTAAATGCCAGTCCGGGTGTAATAGATGAGATCCGCATGAGAAAAAGCGGAAGTGGGAGAGTTGTGCGTGCGCATGTGGGTGTGTAGCCATGCGTGTGTGTGTGTGTGTGTGTGTGTGTGTGTGTGTGTGTGTGTGTGTGTGCCCGTTGTTCACAGAGAAAATACTGTTGACAGTGTAATTTGATCAAAGCTGACAGCTAATTTATGAAACATATTCTTGGGTAAATGATTTTTCCCGGTCCTACTACCTCGGTCATTCTAAACTGGTAATTGGATTTCCCTAACTTGCAAGGTAGAAAATTAGAAGTAAACTATTTTAATGAAGGACTGTGTGTGTGTGTGTGTGTGTGTGGGAAGGATGTTTGCATCATTGTGTTGTGTGCGCGTGTTTACACAACAGCAATCAAGCACGAGTATATATAAATGTAGCGCACAGATACGGCGTGTGCGTTTGTGTGCTCGTATGCCACGCTGCAGGGGAAAGTGGCATCTCTCGGTGCAGTGCAAGTTAATGGCAAAGTTTTGCACTGCTGCACTGCCGCACTAATACCCAGTTGTTACCCAAATACACAAACATACCCACACACACTCCCTCTGATTGCCATAAGTGTCTTGTCTTTATGAAGCAATCCCTAAGGGGGGTCTTTGTGCGTATGACTGTGTGTGTGTGTGTATCTGTGAGAGCCAGAAAAGGAAGCTGAGGAAAACAGCCAGAAATGCTTCTGACAACGAAGGCGAGCTTGTTATTTTTTATTTTTTTTATAGTGAAAAACACACAAAGCCCTTTGAGTAACCGTGTTCAGGCGCTCCTACGCACGCACAAACACGCGCACATAAATTGACTTTACATTAAGCTGCGAGTCAAATGCAGATGCAAGCCCCTCTGTGTTTCCTGTACATTTCAAACCCCCTGGTAAAAGTCTGCTAAACCCAGATCAATCAAACGTCTCTAAGCCCGGGCAAATGGAACACAACCCGAGCCATTCCGCCTCCCAGCCTTTTGCAGCGCTTACCTGGAGTGTTGAGCAGCCTGGACATGCGACAGCTGTAGGCGATTTGCTGCTCACAGTATTCTGCGCTGGTGGTGATGGCTGTCACCTGGAAAGACACGCGCAGACATGCGTTTCCCTTTTGATCGTATTCAGCCCAGACGGGAAGATTTAAGTTTAAAGGAAATTACGCCGTGCTGTTTTAATTGAAATTCCCCTCAGAGAAGATGGAAATGGAACAAGTGACACATGCACATTAGGAGAGATGAAACTCACAGGAAGCATATGCTGCTCACACTGTAAACTGTTCCCGAATACACGTTGAAAAAAACATTAAACCCTTTAAAGTTTAAAAAAGATAACTTGTCTTTGTGTTACATGTGCAACCGGTAACTAAGAAGTATTGAGTCTTTAGTACGACAGGGCCGATGTGGGGAGGCCGAGCTGTATGTAGCAACACCATAGGGGACAGGTGGTAGGAGCATGACCCGGAACAGTGACATTATGTGCATTTGAAATAATTAATCATTAATTGTCGCTGCTGAAGGTTTGAGCAAAGAAATTCTTATTTGATTTAACACTTGTGCGATTTTGTCAGCTAATCAATGAGTTGATCTAATATTGAAATAATGTTCACTACAAATCTAAGAAAACATAAAAAACAACTTAATACAAGGCATACGTGTTACGGTTACACGTGTTGTATTGTACTCATGAAGTCACCTGTGTTTGTATGTCTGGTTTTTACCTGTTCCATGGAGGTGCTGTAGTTGACCTGTAAGACGGTGCGTCTTTCTCTGCTGGAGCCGGTCACTGCGATTTTGGGTGGCAGGTTGTTCATGACGGTCGTCCACACTTTGTCGTCTAAACACAACATGTGAGCGTTTTCAGAACGATAAGCCACTGAAATGCAGCAAATTATTTGTTTCCGTATATCCGGATTGCATACATTTACAAAAACTGCGGATCTACTCCTCTTGCTGACTCACACTTGCTCACACACACACACACTGCAATTTGGCAAGTTCTTCCTATGTAATCTAAGTTTCGGCTGTGCAAAGCAGGGTTTAATAGACGCTCGTGTGCAGCATGAGCCAGTCACCCAGACATCTGTTCATTCACACCGTCAGCCGGGGAATGTCCGTCTGTGCATTTCAAGTCCCTAAGGTGTGTGTGTGTGTGTGTGTGTGTGTGTGTGTGGGAGAAAGAAAAACTCTTAACATTTGAGCTGTGTGTGTGTGTGTGTGTGTGTGAGTGTGCTATTCAGTGTGACTAAGGGGCTACCCAGCGGAGTGCGGTGACATTTCATTAAAAGTCTCGCCTTTTCTCTGCCTGCGTGCTCTGCCGTTCCAGACTACCTACTTATTCCACTGTGTGTGTGTGTGTGTGTGTGTAAGGTGTTGGGAGTGTTGCATGTGTCGGTCTAGGAATGTGTGTGTGTGTGAGCGACTAAAGTGTCACTCGCACCGTTGGAGCACTCTTAGGTTGGCATAACAGGTCAGAATCATATCTGCGTGTGCTGTGTTTGTGTGTGTGTGTGTGTGTGCAGCTCCTTCAGAGAAGGATGTCAGTAGTAGTCACCGTGTTGCCATGGAAACCCCAGGCAGAGCAGGTCAAGAGTGTTGTTGTCTGAGGTTAAAAATGAGGAGGGCTGGAGACTTTGGTAGAATTTGATCTGGACAGAATAGGGTGCACGCACACACGCACACATGCGCACACACACATAGACAGGAGACACACCGCAGGCGAAAGCACACCCATAGGCTCGCCCGCACACACACACACACACCTGTCATGTTGCAATTGACTTTGAAGGGGCCAAGGGGCCCGCTGCTGTCGGGGTCGATCCAGTAGGTGTCAGAGGACCTGCCCAGGTGCTTATAGGCCTCACATGACGGCTCATAGATCGCTAAAAGTGGGACAGGGGCAAAGAGGAAAGGAGGAAACAGATGAGAGGTCAGAAGGGGATGAAAAATTACATAAAGCTGCAAAGCCACTGAGGTTGTTACAATCAAATGCACAACAAAATTAAATATTTGACATGACTGAGTGACAAATACATTTAATTTCAAGTATAAATGTTTGCTGATTCTGAGGAGAAGTACAAATAAAACCATTTGTAAAAGCTTGAAAAAAATATTTGTTTTGATACCTTCAAAGAGTTTACGTCATGTGTAGATAAATTTAGGTGTTGGAAATATCTTTATATTGCGACAATGATAATAAAATATGATGTTGAAAAATGCAGGGCAACCAGGGACAAAATTTTGCTATTCTAATATTTGTTAGATGTTAAAGACACATTTAAATACAAAATTAGTTTTTAGAAAATTAGAGTTTATCATCTTGTAAACACAGTGTTCAGAGATTTGCATGTAACTATTTCCCATTTTCTGTCCCAAGATTGACACTGGATAAGAGTTCATTACAGTCACCCACTCAAAAATACATCTGGTATCTTCGGTGGGGTTAGAAATCATAGTATGCAAATAATTCATGGTATTTCACTGCAACTACATTCTGCACATAACAACAATATGAAAGGATGATACACTTCACCAAAAAAAAAAACCCTCTGCATATAAACACAATATATTTCTTTCTGCAATGGACCAAAGATTGATACAACTGTCGAATTTTAGGATGGATCTCCGGTAGCACATGATTGTAGAAAGGTGTATTCTTTCCCCCCTCCTTGCAAGAGGAAATGTCATGTGGTTACCAGTCTCTATTTAGCATTTGACAAGATGTCGTGTCCCACACACTCTAGCAATCTGACACATTGATGTTACGTTTGTGTTGATCTGCACATACAGACTGCGTGTGTGTGTATGTGTGTGTGTGTGTGTGTGTGTGTGGTTGGGTGGAATTGCTCTTTAAAGAAATGTATGTGTAGGGAGTGAAACTCCAATCATTCAGGCAGCACCATTCAGAGGCTTAATAAAAACATTTAAAAAGAAAACATCTTTGCCTTTAAGTTTTAAGCTCTTCAAAACTTTTTTCTGTTTTTACACGTGTCTTCTTCTTTGTGTCTCCTGTGCCGTCCTTTTCTCTTTCATTCTTCTAACTACTTCATTATAGGCCTTTCTTCTCGTAGATATGCCTCTGCTCGTTCAGGTGTTTAGTGTTGCAGTTACTTGCAAAGAGTAAATCCTATTGAACAAAACCCTGCCGGAACGAAATAGTGAGGCACCAGTCCATACACACCACACCCCATTTTAACGCCTAGCCTATGACTATGCGATTCTAGCTCATCTGCTTTCAACAAGGTGCTGAAAGCATTCTTTAGAAATGTTGGCCCATATTGATAGGATAGCATCTTGCAGTTGGTGGAGATTTGTGAGATGCACGTCCAGGGCACGAAGCTCCCATTCCACCAGATCCCTAAGATGCTCTATTGGGTTGAGATCTGGTGACTGTGGGGGCCATTTTAGTACAGTGAACTCATTGTCATGTTCAAGAAACCAATTTGAAATGATTCGAGCTTTGTGACACGGTGCATTATCCTGCTGGAAGTAGCCATTAGAGGATGGGTACATGGTGCCATAAAGGGATGGACATGGTCAGAAACAATGCTCAGGTAGGCCGTGGCATTTAAACGATGCCCAATTGGCACTAAGGGGCCTAAAGTGCACCAAGAAAACATCCCCCACACCATTACACCACCACCACCAGCAGCCTGCACAGTGGTAACAAGGCATGATGGTTCCATGTTCTCATTCTGTTTACGCCAAATTCTGACTCTACCATCAACAGAAATCGAGACTCATCAGACTAGGCAACATTTTTCCAGTCTTCAACTGTCCAATTTTGGTGAGCTCTTGCAAATTGTAGCCTCTTTTTCCTATTTGTAGTGGAGATGAGTGGTACGCGGTGGGGTCCTCTGCTGTTGTAGCCCATCCGCCTCAAGTTTGTGCGTGTTGTGGCTCCACAAATGCTTTGCTGCATACCTCGGTTGTAACGAGTGGTTATTTCAGTCAAAGTTGCTCGTCTATCAGCTTGAATCAGTCGGCCATTTCTCCTCTGACCTCTAGCATCAACAAGGCATTTTCGCCCACAGGACTGCCGCATACTGAATGTTTTTCCCTTTTCACACCATTCTTTGTGAACCCTAGAAATGGTTGTGTGTGAAAATCCCAGTAACTGAGCAGATTGTGAAATACTCAGAACGGCCCATCTGGCACCAACAACCATGCCACGCTCAAAATTGCTTAAATCACCTTTCTTTCCCATTCTGACATTCAGTTTGGAGTTCAGGAGATTGTCTTGACCACGACCACACCCCTAAATGCGTTGAAGCAACTGCCCTGTGATTGGTTGATTAGATAATTGCATTAATGAGAAATTGAACAAGTGTTCCTAATAATCCTTTAGGTGAGTGTGTGTCGTGACACAAAAACATCTTGATGAACGTTCTGATAAATCCAGGCTCCTGTCCCACTGCAAAGCTGTATTCTGAACAAGGGGCCTTTTCACTCAGTCCATTCTTTAAATGTTGTCACACTTCTTTTATATCAAACCTGTTGTTTTATGTTTGACAGGCACAATATTTCTAAAACGCTTCCTTCTCAACCTCTCTTAAAAGAGAACAATGTCCGCAGCACATGGGAGCGGGGATGACATTCTCTGGTTTTGAAGCCTTTCAAACTGTTCCCTTTGTGCGCCCGTGCTTTGGGTCCGGTCAGACCAGAACAGAAGACACAAAGCAGTGAGAAAAGCGTGGCCTCTGAACACTTCAAAAGGTGCATCCGTCCCTCTGCTGAGGATTGTCGCTTCGGAAGAAGAAACACAAACGCAAATCCCTCAGTGGCGAACAGAAGAAGGCCAGATCGCACAAACGCACGGGGAACACAACGGCGCTTTTTGAGTTAGAGGTGTGGGCGGTGGTACAGAGAGTGACACGCAACGGCACACAAACACACGTACACGCTCGTACACTTACAAGTGTGGCAGGTGGCTCCAGTGTATCCGGTTCCATCGCAGGTACAGCTGAAACTGTCCCAGGTCTGCTTGCACCGCCCACCGTGCTCACAATGGTTCGGCATACACCTGCGGGGAAAGAGTGCGTACTTACTTTTAAAAGAGAAAAATCATTTTGCAGTATGTATTGTATATACTGTTGCATGTTTATACTGACAGCATGCAGCAGATATTCTTATTAATGTCTGGTGGTGTTGAATATGAATATGAGTATTCAACCATCCGTCGTGTGTGTGGCTAAGTTTGACTATATTTAGTCCAATCATTTTAAACAAAAAAAGCAATTACTGCAATTTAGCAAAAACCACAGTTGAGTGTAGATCAGCAGAGTCAGTAAGGGAAGCTCTGCGTGGATGCACATGCTCTGAAGGAGTTGGAGGCGCGGTGGTTTATCGTGCTGATGATCCAGGCATGTGACTGTTGTATGTGGAAAGAAAAATGTAGTAAAATATATTTATCTACAATGAGGTCTATTTAATAAAGGCCAATGCTCAGATATCTATAATCATCTTCATATTATAATGAGAGAACTTCGAGATAAGAAAGACATGCGACCTCACTGATAATCTCGGTGCTCAAGTGTCATGAGCCCACAGTTACGTTCCTACAAGGAAGAAGAGACAGCAAGAAGCGCGACGTGACGACGAGAGGTGCGGCAGTGAAGGCCGGAGGATATAATCGCGGTTCTTTTACAATCACAATCTACGCTAAAAAGGACCTGCAGCGAGGAGTGTAAATGCATGTAAACAGTGTGAATACAGCATTAAGCACATTGCAACTTCTGACATCCCCAGTTTTTTTCTTGTTGAGATTTCATCACCAACTCAGATCTTGAACACAGCAAAGTGCCGCGGCTTGATGTGCTTGGTGCTGATGAGCCGGGTTTCCCCGCACACGTACTTGTCCACACGTTTGGCAAATCAAACACAAGTTTGAGTGATTGCTACTATGATGAGGGAAGCAGGCAGGAGAGAAAAGAACCACTGAGTCATAAGTGCTGCAGGGGTCCTTTAAAATACTGAGCTTTTATTTTAGTCTTGTCAGGAGTCAGGCAGTTAAGCAGCACGGAGCGGGAGACAAGACGATCGCTGTTGTCAAACCTCCAGCGTCTCAGAAACCGCCGTGAATTTGTCATAAAAACCGTGGACTTGTGAGTTCACTGAGAGGAGCGACTCATAGTATCTCTTCTTTTTATTTTGTCTCTTTGTCTCTATATAAAGTTCTATCACTATCATGCACATTTTTTGTTGATGACCTCTGCTATGTAGGCTGTCATGCCTGGAGTATCAAGATAGATATAAACCCTAACCCTACATGTGTGCTTTCTTAGTGTCTGACATGCAGTGGAGTGCTTGTGCTGTTGTTCAACTATGTGTAGAATGTGAGAAAGACATTGGCTGCTGCAGAGAAAGTATATTTGGAAAATAATCATCCTCCTCTCGAGCTTTGACAGTGTAGCTAACACTGCTACACATGTACATGCCTGCCAGTCCAACAGCGACACTGCTTGACAAAATAACAAGTTATGAGGACAAAAGTAAGGCGGTGCATATACTCCCATTGTTAATCAAATCCAATTCAACCCTTGCTTTTGTTTTCAAGCCATTACATGTTCTGTGAATGCAATAGAAAGTTCTATAACACCGGCGATCAACGAATGTCATGCTGATTTATAGCTTCAGCAGGCACTTTAAGTGCAGTTTTGAATGGCATTGTGCTTCCACAATGGAATTGCGATTGACCACTATCGTCAAGACAATCACAGGAGAGATTATGCTCAGTAAGTCGTGAGCACTGAACTCGACTAACTAAACGTGCAGGGGGCTGTGTGTGACAGCGTGAGATCTTTGAGGAGGGTTGACCGCCTCAGTATGATTATGCCCCCACGTGCGTGTGTGTGTGTGTGTTGCAGTACAGAGTGCCGGTGACATTGTGGGATATGGTAATCATCAAGCCTTGCCCTTGTGCGTGTCCGTGGAGATGTGAGTTTCTACTTCTTCCAGCCTCACCACGGCATTGGTCAAAAGGAGGTCAGACTGGGCTACTGGAAACCAGGTAGCACAGCGTTAATTTAAACCCCTTTTCAATAGCAACAAAGTCACCTGACTCCAAACAATGTCGACATTTTCATTGGGACTCCAACCACAAAAAAAATTAAAAAAGGTATCAGTTTTAATTGTTCTTCGGTATGGACTGACAACTGATATAGGAATGTTTTTACACATGATGCGGGTAAAAGGTATTGACAAACCGAACATAAAAACCCAATCATGAGGGATATGCTGTCAGTCAGCGCAAGGTCAACTAGTTATTGCAGCTTCCTAATCATGTTTACCTTCTAATCCATGTTTCATTTATTTGGCCATTGCGCGAGTGGAAAACACTGACTTTAGGTTCAGGCCTAATCCTTGAAGATTTAACCAGTCCACAAACTTTGGATGAATGTTTGCAAACATGAGATTCAGAGTAAGGACGCTTCCAACTCCCAAGTGCAAGGTGTGGCTGATTCCATGCATGAAAGATGTCCCAGTGTTTGAATTGTCTACGTGACAAGTAAATAAATTGGAACGCCATCAAGTTGCAGTGAAGGCTTACAATGAGCCAACTTTGGGACGTGTGTCAAATATCTCTCTCTGTTATACTGTTGTGTGTTTGATGTTTGATTAAGATCGTACCCCTGGAACGCCATCATTTTGATCCATTTATCAGCATGACAAGCACACAAACAAACACACAGACATAGTGTTGCGTAGGTACTGATTTTTTTTGACTCTCCCAATTTAAAACCACTTGATTTATGACACTTATTAGTGCTCTGCATATGGCGGTTATTTTCATTCATGACTGATCGTATGGATGCGCGTGCATGAAGGAATTGTTATTCTTACCTGTCTATAATTGCACACATGTCGAGGCTGATATTCTCAAAAGCTCCCACGGTGCCTTTTTCCACTGCATGCAAATCAGCTGCTTGGTCGTCAACCAAGATTGCTTGCATGCAGCCCTGGAAGGTACGCTGGGAGGGTGGGAACAGCGTCTGGAGAAAGTACCCTAAAACCAGAAAAAGAAAAAACACTATTTCAAATCCCAGAGAGTTTAAGATTAATAGACTGAATGCAGAACAGCGTTGAGGCGACAGAAACAAAGCAGACCAGAGTGAAATGGGGTGAAAGGGTGCAGGAGTACGACAACAGACAAAGAAGGGGGATTCTTTTTATCAATGATTTAAAGCAAATGATGAAAAGGGGACCGTCTGTGGAGACATCGAACTGAACGATGATATCATCCTTGACTAGGAACAAGAGACCTGTTATTGCCATCTTAAAGCCATAAACCTCTATCCGTCCTCTTGTTTTAGAGGCCCATTAGCCTAAATAAGGTCAGTAAGGCCACAATATAGGTTTTGTTATGTGCAGTACTTTTATGTAATACAAGAGTCAATGGCCCGTCCTGATGTCGCACTGGGCCTTGACTGTCACAAGGCCAAGGCTAGGACAGAAAGGGTGTGTGTGAGCGCGTGCATGCTGAAAAATCACCTGGAAAAGTGAAACCATTTGGATACATGAGTCTACGTGTCTCTATATGACTGGGAGGCATAGGAGTATTGCACATGTACCAATCCGTCTTCAGTGTGCACATCTACAGGCGTTATTGCAGCGCGCACGCCCTGGCACATACAGGAGACGAGAGCCTTGGAATCAATCTCTGCCACACGGGTCGCACATAAAACACCGCAACTCAATGGCATCTCCATCATTGGGATGTTAGAAGCCGTCGCACCATACAGGATGCCTATCCGCCTCAAGGCCCGAGCATCAAAAGGTTCATTTATAGAGGGCATAATGCACTGTTTGTGTGTGCTTGTGTGACCCCCAAGAAATAATTGTAGTTCTTGTGGCTGGCTGATGCGTCGGCAAACAAAGCAGCAGAAAAGTAACATTTGTGTCCCCGCAAGAGGGGTTTCTGCTGGATCCATCCTTTTTCTTCACATCTCTTGGTTTTTTATTTCCTCCCCCAAAAGTGTCTTCCGTCATCCTTGCCATCTGTCTCTTCTCCTGCCACACCTGTCTGTCTTTTCAGGCGGCGGGAATGAGACAGAAGGACAGTAAAAGGAGAGCGGGACGGCGAGGATGGTGGAGGGAAGATAGGAAACAGAGCAGACTGCAGCTGGCCGGCAGCACTGTGTGTGTTGTGGAGCGCATATGAATGCAAAGGAAATGCAGCCATCCTGACGGTTTTCCGGAACAAACGGAGCAATGCCAGGCACAGCTAGAGGAGGAGGTTTCTCTTATTTTATCCAAATTTAATACAAAAATGTCCCAATGGTGTGTTGGGTGTCACCCGCTCAAGCCCACCAACTACCGACTTAATCATAGAACTTGAACCACAGTTCATAGAACAGGAATTATTAATCATAACTGGTCATGCTTACTTGCTTAATCTGGATAATGTGGGATATCTTGAGGCAATCGAGTCTCAAATAATAACCGGAGCCAGTCTGAGAAACTGCAGTGGAAGCTCCCTTCTGTCACTTATAGTGATCAACACTTTAAATGTTTATTTTGGGCATTGTACTAAAGTAATTTGCCCATTAGTTGACTAAACAAAACAAAGCTGAATTCAATCCTGACAGCAGTCATGTTTTACGTTTGGTCAAAGCAGCATGTCCCCCCTATTGCAGCTAAACTGACAAAACAACAGGATTAATGGTGTCAAAACAAACAGAGGCAAACACTTGGCAAACAGAGCAGAGTCGTGGCCGCACATCCGTGCACGCCCGGGAAAAAAAAAATCACACACACCCAGAGCTCAAGTGCGTGCTAAGCATGTCTGACCACATTTGATTATTGTTGCATTAATTTGTTAAATGAACAAAAGCTCTATTTCTTCTAACCCCTCAGGATCCGAAACAGCAGCAATAATCCCCGGCAGTCTTGTTGGCACTATCACAGCCCCTCTGCTGCGCCCGAAGCGCTTCCCTTACAATACACACTAGAAGAGCTCTACTACCTGATCACCATCTGGCCGGCGCAGCTGGCTTTCAGGCCACACCACACTTGTGTCCACATCCAAACACATTTCGGGGGACGAATCGGTTTTCAGAAGGGCTGGTCTGGAAATCGGCCATTATGGTTGGTTGTAAAAAATTTAACAAATATTTTGAGGGCTGCAATTCTGCAGCATATTCAGGAGAGACACAATTTTGTTGCCAAACACAATATGTTTACTTCCCAAATTCATGCCCGGAAAAACTGTGCTTATCTATTAACCACCTGCTGCTATTTCTCCGCAAGGTAAAAAACAAATAATTAAAAAGAATAATCTTGGAGCAAACCATCAAACGAAGTTAACATGAACGAGTGTTAAACCTCCCTGGACACGAGCTGAGCACAGTGTATGTAGGCAACACAAGACCGTATGTCGTAGTCCATTTACTTTGAGTATTAATGGAAAGTATTCACTTTTTTTTTTTTTTTTTTACATCAAAGTGTCACGCTACACCTCTCGGAGTGACCAAATAAACAGACTGCATTGTGAGAAGCATCACAACGCTTTATCTCAAAAGGTCAGAGGTTTTCCAACACAGTCCCCAGTAGACTGTAATGGAAAAGCAAAGCCAAAAAAGGCTTCTGTGAAGCTGTCATTTATTTCTTGGCATGGAATAAATAGGAGGGAATTTTATGACATTTGGGATATAACAAAACAGGAAATGTTTTAACACAATTCGGAGCAAAAGTGTAATACTGTATAATTGGAAAGTGAGCGGAGATTGCACAAACTAAAAGAACAAATAATATTTTTTTTCTTATAATGAATAATGAATAATGAAACATCTGTGTTCTTCGGGGTGGAAAATCCCTTGATTGACTACTCTTGCATTAGAACTGTCAATTTGTCACCTGTTCTTGTGGTGAGAAGAGCCCAACTTTATGTGCTTGTGTATATTCATATGTGTATTTGTGCGAGTGTTCAACTTCCCTCTTGAGAAATTCAATTTGCGGATGTCTCGTGTCAGTCACTTACTAATTTCTCCAAGCGGAGCGTCAGGAGTGAGAAACTACTACCCCGTAAAATAGGCTTTGGGTTCAAGAGGCTGCTCCTAAAAGCAGACGCTTGAAGCATAGAGGGGTGGAGACGAGAGAAGAAGAGGGGAGACGAGGGGGGAGGCATAGCAAGGGGCCGACCCGGTTAAAGAGGATAAGGGGGATGAGAGGGAAAAGAAGAGGATGAGGGCCAAGAAAGAAAAAAGAGAAGATGAACTGAGGAAAACAGAATAAAGACATGAGGAAGGGAGGGAAAGCGGAGAAAAGAAGAGAAGAGTCAAGAAAGAGGGCTTCGTTGGAGATTGTGTGACGGAGGATCAGAGCCAAGCCTTTTCCTCCATCTGATATCCAAAGTGTGGTATCCTGTAACTCTGTAACCTTTAGGTTTAAGCAATGCCTCGTGAAGTCTGATGCCACAGAATCAGAAAAGGCAGTGCAATTTGACCCAAAGCAACAATTTTGGCATGTATGGTAACACTGTTGCCATGGCGAAGGAATCTGTTTCATCCCGTGAAAAACAGGCAGTGGCGTGAGCTACAGTGAAAGCTTCTACATCCTTTAAAAGGAAGCTTTCATAAGGGAATTACCATGAAAGTATTGTATTAATAAACATAAACATTGCACATATATAACAGTGTCACAAATCAAACAAGTGGAAAGAAATTAGGAAGAAGTGAAGGAAGGAACTGCATAAATTAGCCTTTAAACTCTTTGGCAATGACATTTGAGCTCTGCAAAGTCCCTTCATAGTCCACAAAATACATTAAACATAACCACTTATGGAAATGAGGCAATTTATTAAGTTAATTAAAGCATTATTTAGCAAATGCTTTTTATGTCACCAGGCTTGTCTTTGCATCACACCTCGACGGTATTAATATTAATGTCTAAAAGCTTTAAGCAGCGCAGTTATTTAAAAAGAACAATTTCGATCACAGGCCTCATATTGTCAAAACGTTATACACAGTTCACACAACCACACACACAAGAACACTTTTAGATGAATCTGCCGATTGGGTGTGGAATAAACCTGAATAAATGAATCATGCTTAAATTAGGAATATATAAACTAACCAGTAGTTAAAGCATCATTTTACAAACACTGATATGTTCAATACATACATTGCAATAAGATATAGAGCACAACCTAAAACCACCTAAGAACAATTGTTCAATAGCTCTTGTAAAAACGAGTGTGAGAAGTATGAGAAGCGAAGTAATTGAGATACAGGAAAGAGGTCTATTACCTAAATCAAACCTAAAAGTGTGGTTACTGCTCATCAACTTTCGACGATGGTAAACAGCAGATTGGTTCATTGAAGTCACAGCGTTTGAAGCCGATGGCGAAGCCCGCCTTGAATATTAAACAATATTCATTTGTTCACTAAACTGAGTGGTGCACTGAAAGAACAGACACGAGGAAAGTGCTGATGGAATATGGTTGGAGAGCTTTAGGACAGCTTAATGCACTTGGCCTCTCTGACTCATCAAGCTGAACGATCTAAGAGACCAATTGAGGCCGAGTCAAAGGCTAAACTACCTTTTGTTCGCTCACTATATTATTCGGTTACCTGTGTGCTGGAATGAAATTTGGCCCCTTAATGGGATAAGGTGATTTAAATAAATGCTGTGCATAGTATATCTGAACTCTGAGTTAAATGTGTTCTGGTGGGAATGTGCTCAGGATTTTATGGGCATGTGGTCAGAAGGAGAATCTCGGTTCACAAACATTCACGCTCACACTAACCTACCCACAGAGATTCAGATGGTTTCAGGCCTTCATCGTTGGTCTGTACTAAGCGGGGGGGCAGGTCATAATGAATGCAGGTCATGCAATTAGAGAACTGAGCAGTATGCTGTGCGAATTTAAAGTAAAACCAACCCGATTGTGAAAATCTGAGTCTCCCTAAAACTTCCCACCTGGTCAGTGAAGTGGTGGCCTAAATGTCTCCTTATACTCCTGTTGTTAGGGGGATGAAAACTTCTGAAAGAACACAGGTGCCCTCT